ATGGGTTTGGACATGGGGGTAAGTGATTAATGACAAAATTTTCATTTTGGGGTGGAGTATCCCTTTAAATCTTGACATCTTTGGTCACCAGAGCAGCTTGGACAGCTAGTATAAATGTCTCCTTTTGTGATTTTTTTTTATTTTTTTTTTTTATAGTTTTAGTTGACCGTAACAACTCTGGTAAATGAATTTTTTTTTTTTTTTTTTTTTTTGGAGGTAAGCTATTCCTTTAAGCTACAAAAAAAACAACAACAACTGTTTGATGGCGTACAGAACATACTTTATATTGTGCTCAGATCATGAATGTAAACAGAAACTTTCTTCTTCTTTCATTTGTCCAGCCCACAAACACAGGGATGACTTTCCTTGATCTTCCGGCTAGCTTACAGCTGAACATCATGCACCGTCTCTCAGACGGACGAGATCTGGTTAGCCTGGGTCAAGTATGCCCTGACCTAAGTGTGCTGACAGAAGATCGGCTGTTGTGGAAGAAACTCTGCCAGTATCACTTCTCAGACAGACAGGTAGACGTTTGTGGCTCTTCAAATGGAATGTAACGCATTTAAGGTCTTACTTGATGGCAGAGAAGATGAATCTTGCATATTTATGTGACTGTTTATATCTTAAATCTTGCATGCAAACACTAAATTTGGTTAGAGTAATTTGCTATGTTCTTCACAGATCCGCAAGCGCCTAATGTTGTCAGATAAAGGACATTTGGAATGGAAAAAGATGTATTTTAAGTTGTGCCGGTGCTACCCTCACAAGGAGCAGTACAGTGACACATTACAGTTCTGCACACATTGCCACATCCTGTTCTGGAAGGTGAGACTAAATTCTTTTCTAGCTCTTCACATTTTATTTGAAAATACATCACTCTTTTATTTTATTTTTTTCATGTAAAGTCCTTTTATGGCAATAACTGAATTTTTTTTCTGTTCACTTCAGGATACAAACCATCCTTGCACTGCCAATAACTCAGAGAGCTGCTGCAAGGCCGTGTCTCCACAGGGTTTCATCAACCTTTTCAAGTTCTAGGGGGCGCTGCATTGCTGCCATGTAAATAGTGTCAATAGTGCAAAGGATTCCTGGATAACTTGAGGCAGGGAAAAATGGGGTTGCATTAGAAGCAGGTGTCATAATGTTTTGTGGAGAAGTTTGGAAACTGAATGTACTCTAAATATGCAAGATGAGAAACTAAAAAGCTGTGTTGGGGGTCTGTGTATTTATAAAGGATTTATTTTTTATTTATTCAGCATGGATTATGTTTACTTAAAGAAAAGTTACATTAAGGATAAGAAAAAGGATGTTTAAATTGATCCTACATGCATAAAAATTTGCCCTTGTGCTGTCAGGATGCCCTGGTTTCTTCTGTGAATGTAATATAGGTTTGATTTTTGGCAACACAAACATTTATTGTTTGAATTTCAGATAGCATAATTGGTGCTTTAGCAAGTGCATGGGAATGTTTACCAAAATGGCCTTAACACTGGTGTGCAATACTTTTCTAAGTACTTTTTTTTTTTTTTTTCTTCTTCTTTTGTTTTTCACTTTTATACATTTGATATTTTCAGTGGTTTGCAATTTAAACGTGCTTGTTTTTCTAAACAATAAATACATGAGTATGTTGTAAGCAGATCTGAAGTGTAAACTCATTCAAGGTGCCTTATTCTGAGTGGTCATAAGCCAATTTAAAAGCTGTCATTCATTTGCAAATGGTTCTTTCTGAATAAATCTTCTGAATCATATTAATTCAGCTTTATATGGGAATCGATGAATAAAGTATTTAGTGTAGTGAATTTATCACAGTTCACAATAACCTAAACTTTTCCATGTTTTGAATCTTTTTTTCCAACTTGTAATTTCTATGCTTACTATGTTATCTTTGGTATTTTGAGAACATATTTGGCAAAGAAATACAACAAGCAACACGATCTATAAATAACAAGAAGTCACTGGTCCTGTTGATGTAATCCACAATCTATCATTGCCTGGCAAGTTTTTACTGCCATCTTGTGTACAAGAGATGTTTTTGTTAAAGTATGAGTTGAATATGTCTGGTGGTGACTGGTTTTTTTCTTTAAATACAGATGTGGTCTATAAATATTTGTGTAATACTGGGTTCTTGTATTTACATGAATTCAACTCTAACTGCATCACAAAATGCACTAAATATGTACTAAAAATTTATCTTTTTTATAGATTAGTTTTACTGTTGAATTACAAGTTAATATTTTGACATTAAAATATGTCTCAAGAAAATATATTGTGCTATGAGTCATAAAAATCTCATTAACAACAACTGTTATGCAGTCAAGTCATGTGCTGCATATTTTGCTATAACAAAACATTACCAGCAATAAACAGCACAATTAACCAAAACTGACCCTTCACTGTTGGAATCTGTATCCACTGTGGTAATGTATGCATTAACACAATGTGCATAACCATTCAAATAAATACACATCACAGAAAAACTAGCATTAAAAAAAACTCAATTTTATTTTGTTTCTTTGAATAAATTCCTCATCCTCCACATAAGAGAAAAAACAGAGTTTGGGATTGCATTAAAAGAACATTTAATACCATGGCATTTAAGATACTTTATTAGCATACATTATGCATGACTTATTTGCCCCCAGACCAAACAAAAAATTGCATTAAAATGTCACAGTTAAATAAGAAATGGAGCAATCATCAGGACTGTGAAGATTTTCTGCTGTGCCTTAATTAACAAAAGGCTTGAGTCTGACTGTCAGGCAATATGTTATAAAGACATTTCAGTCTCTTCAACAATATCAAAGCTGAAAATATTACATTATGAAATATATCATTCTGAAATTCATCTGGCACTGCTAGATGACTCAATTACAGTACAAACCAAGTTTAAGTTTGTTTACTTCTGCTTGGGTGGTTTCATCATGCTTTTTTTTTTTCCAGTGGAGGAGCTTTACGCAATGTCAAGTAGGTTATTTCGTTTTTCCTAAGCCCTGTAGTTCTATGACTAGTGAAATAATTGTTTAATTAGCTTTGACGTTGATGACCTTTTCATTATACTTCATTGAAACAATACAATTAGGGAAACAATTAAAGAGGTTACAAATATACAATTACAAGGCAGTCTTTAAGTCTAATAAATTAATAAAAAAAAAAAAAGATGCTGCGACAAACAGAAAAAGAAACAAAAACTAATTCACACAAGACATTCGCGGTCCGCCCATTTCAGCTTTTCCAGCATAATGTAATATTTTTTTAAATAGTTTTTCTTCTTAAACTCGCCAATAGGGGGCTCCATAAGACCTTAACAACTATTTGTTTATATACTTTGACAAGCAATGTTTTAAAAATCAAAAAGTTTACAAATGTAACAAGTTTGTTGAAGTCGATACACTGAACTGTTAAAGAAAGTAGGCAGTTAATAATTTAACAAATATATGCATTGTAACATTTTTTCCCACGAAATAAAGCAAACATGCTTTTCATACTGAACCGCAGCAATAGTATAATAAAATAATGTTTTTTATTTTTTTATAACATAACCATAAATAAGCATTCATTCATATCATTCTACTAAACAAACTAAAAAGCCTTTACAAATAAGTTGACAATATGTTCACAATGTGTAAAGAAGCAACATAATCGTATTTGAAATATAGAACGTTCTTTTAAAGTAAACACTACAAAATGACTTTTAATAAGTTATAGTATCTATCCTACAAGTTTTAGTTAGACTTTATCGGTTAATTACACTTTATGACTATCCATGCAAACAACAAAATTAACTCATATTCCCCTTAATCATGTCTTTAAAAAAATTAAGAACACACCAAAAATATAATTCAATTTCTAGATATTCTAAACTTTAATGTGCTTAGTTCCAAATTAACATCCAATCGATCCTGGGATTCCTGTTATGGCATTAAAAGAACTCTAAAATAAGAGGTAGTCAGTGCAGTGCATACATATTTTGTAGCAACATTCAAAACTCTATACAGTTTTGTCTGTAATAGTGCAATTTGAAGAGGTTTTAAATAAGACATAAGTGCATAAATGAGCACTAATTTGACTCCCTTCGAGTACAAACCTCAACACAAAGAGAGATTGGGCAAATTCACGCAGGCCAGATGTGGTTTCAGAGCTGGTGCTGCTGCCGCTGCTCACTCATGGGCTCTGAAAGCACAAATAAAACACATATTTATAAAAAGTAAATGAATATTATATTTTAAAAAATTAGGCCTTGTCTATGTCTCAATTACATTAAAAACTTATGTTTATTATAAAAAATAAATATATATACATATGTATATTTGTATAGAGAATGACATTTAAAATATTTATTTTGCAAACATTTAAATGTTATTAAATAACCTATGGTACTAATGAATATGACAAAACTCACTATGTGTCATTTCTGTTTTGCACCAGCCAAAAACAGGTGCTAGATGAAACATTACCTGTTCAACACAAGTCACACAAAGGGACATTTTCCCTTTCAGAGTTTTGAATGATCCATTCAATGGCGTCCCATCCCTATGACAAAAAAACCTTTAGAGCTTCATACTTTATTTAGAGGCTTGTATAATGCTTCATCTATGGTATATAAAATATCAAATATCATATCAAACTGTTTTTTTATAGTTGCTAAGAGACTAAAACAATTAATGAAACTAAACTAAAATAAAAAAAAAAGATCCACAAAAACAACAGGGTTTCCTAGATAGGGACAAAACCACATTATCAGTGCTTTGAAGTTGCTTATTTTTGGTCCTTCTCTGATTGTGTCAGCAGGAAAATAGGAACTGCTAAGTTCCCATTTATTCAGAGAATAGTAAACTTTCATCAAGGAATTGTAATTAACACGTGACATGGTGACATGATGTTGAGTGGGATATTCCAGGGATATTTGGTCAAATTCATATTTTTCATTACATTATACAAAATGATTGACCTTTCTTGCATTGGCTGACATGGTTAGAGCCATCAGTCCCTCGAGGTAGCTGCTCAGACTGACCCCCTTCACTGTGATGATCGCCTCTTGGGTTAATACAGTGCTGCAAAAGTAAAGCAAACATCATTTTCAGAAACTGGTGTTACCAGTTTGATATTTAATTTTACATATTATTGCTTTCTATTTGTATGGCTTGCATGTATGTGCATAGATATTCATGCAGATATTACAATTAGATGACAATTATGTTAAATACACTTACAAATGGATTTTACTTACACTTCTGGATTCTCTGGATGAGGCCTGTAGACAAGCCTTTCATCAACTGATATAAAATTAGTTAGGGTTATCTGAAGAAGAAAAGGAATTTCTTTAGTACAGCGTGAAAATAAGATGTGAATTCATAAAACCACTTTCTGTTAAGAAAATAATCTGATTAGAATAGCTTTCTATAATGCATAGCTGTCGAATGTTGAACAAACACTCACGTTTGTTGAGCAAAGCTCCATTTTTTTCTCTTCTGGGTCCACAATGGAATGTTCTTTTACATATGTGATGGTCCGATTTGTCCCTAAAATCTAAGGAGAAAAAATGAAGGTCCTTATAAGCCAGTTGTTCTCAGTCAGGAGGCCCCGGCGAACTTCCAAGAGAGCCTCAATATGACGTAAAATTATTTAAAATAATCCAAAACACCTGAAAATCAAACATATTTCTTATTTTAATTCACCACCTCAACGACAGTTTTTTCCCATTGTCTTGAAAAACCTGGATATATGAGGTAGTCTTATATTAAAAGCTTGATTGCTAGTTATGCTAAGCTCTAAAATATTTATCAGGTAAAAATGATCAGTTAAAAATATTGTTTACAAATCCTTATCCTTAATCTTTATTCAGTAATCCATGAACAACTGGAAAACATGGGGCCTTTGAATATTGTTGTGGACAAAAGAGGCCCTTGGAGTCAAAAACATTGCAAACCACTGTTGCGTACTGTTAGAGTGTTATATACACTTTCATATTGCTAAAACTATTAAATATCGCTTCAGATTGTTAATTGGACTGTTAATTATGTGCTTTGGAGGTAAAATATACATGATATGTGAGATGTAAAAGCTGTAATGTAAATAAGACAATATATTTAGCAGTGTGACGCATATCTTCTAACCGCTTTGACAACCGCTGGAAGCCCCCACTCCGTGCTGAGGAGCCGATGACTGTGTAGACGTCCATGTGTGTCCAAGTTCCTGTCAAGAACGTCCACTCCAACAACACTAGGGTTCATTGGATTAGGATACTTCCTCATAGCCGCTTTGATCACAGTCTCCCAAGGGTAGCTGTGTGAATACAATCAAAAACATCACAATAGATTTCAGCGGTTTATAAGGAACATCACTATACTGACACTGACCTCATAAGCAAAACACATTCAAGGGAAATTTAGCTTAAATGCGAGGAGGAAGAATTTTTTGCCAGTGTAGTTCAACATTATCAACAACAAACATCACATCCATAACAAGAGAGGCTGGGACCTTAAATAAAGGTTAGTTTGAAATAATTAATTTCCACATAATGAATCATTTCTGAGTGAAACTAATGACTTCATTTAAAAACAAAAAAAAGAAACTTTGAAATATACTGGTTTTGCACAGTTCTGTTTTGGAAGTCTGTTGAATTATGATGCATCATGAATCGAGTTGGTTTGGTGGTTTTAGTTGGTTTAAGGTGGTCTTGGCTCGTTTGAGGTGGTTTCGTCGGCTGGTTTAGCTTGGTAACCAAACAAATCCCTTCAAAAACAGTCAACTGACCAGCCAGGTTGCAAAACCATCAGCTTAGGTTGTTTATCAATATGGAAATAGACCACATTTTAGTCAACTTTTAAAATGTACTGACAGGCAGGGGAAAAAAATCAATGTCACTAGGTTTCAGTAAAAAAACCTAAATAATATATAACTACATTTATGAGTTTTGTTAGTAACACAGTTGTGAATAGTAACAGTGAGTCGTGTAAGGACCTTGCGCATAACTGTAATAGACGTTCACAGACAAGTACCGGCTAGGCCCAAATTAATGCATATTCGCAACTATCGCTTAGATTTGTGTAATGTGCAAGAATTAATTGCTTGAAAGCTAAAAGTGTCCAAAGGAGGCGAGCTACGCTGTTTCCGGATACTAGCGCTACCAAAGGGAATCGGGATGCAAATTATGACAGAGGGGATGCTGGAATCTGTGCATGCGAGTGCTGCATTCGCCCTGAACGCTGCTTGTCTACCTGAATATGTGCTCAGTGCTCCAAATCTTCATTTTTGCGACAATTTGAATGTGCCTCCAAACGACGGTGGACTGTAGATCTCATACATTCATATTTTCACGCTCTGCTCCCATCATACCGGCTTCGAGATGCTCCTCATCTAATCAAGTGCAACAGAACCTCCCTGTTAGAACAGCAACTACCAATAGAAATCAAGCTTTGTGTTACTGACGCTTGTAGACAACTTGATGTACATCAGTGTTGCGCTACAAACGTGCAAAAGTGGATTTATGGTTGATAAATAATGTGTTGTTCATTTAAACGCTCGGCAATATTAGACGCACAATAAACTAGATTATTTACTCTTTTTCTGTTCAGTTGACTGATAAAAGACATACATGTAAGTGTATTAGTGCCGCTAAATTGCGTTTGTTGAAGATGAAGCACATATTTAAGACTTAAAACTTTTGCTGTTGTTGTTGTTCGGATGACATTAAATTCATGCTGCGGTTAACCACAATGACATAATGCACATGGGGAAATTCTTATCTGGAAATTCCTTTTCTTAAGGCGCATGCGCATTTACTCCTACGTATATCAATGGAAGTAGTGTTTCGTTTTCAGATGCCACCAGAGCTACTTTACCTTGTGGTGTTATTTATTGTTACAAGTAATAGATGGACAGCACGGTTGTTATATCTCCTGGTAAGTTTCTAACTCATAGCCCACATCTCCTTTTGCCACATGTTGTGTTTAGTTACTTTGTTTTGGAAAAGTAAAGAATGTGACAAGTAAAAAGGAAGCGCAAAAAATCAGTATAGTTGTCAATCAACTGTTGTTTTCAGTAGTAGGCTAAAGGAAATACAGGGTAAATGATGCAAAACAGTTATTGGTACAGTATATTCGCAATGGAACACGGATTAAAACGTTGTACTTTAAAACTTTTAGTTATTTTTTAATGCCACAGTCCTCCGAAAAGTACATTCTTAAGAGCAATTTGTCATTTCAACTGATTTCGATTGATAATTCTAAATTTTTGAGCACAAATAATGACTGTTAGATAAAATGGCTTGTGATTTAAAGTTTTTATCAAATATGTTTTCTGCCATTTAAATAGGCTAATACAAAATCGCAGCAACTTTCTTTTATGAACAGTTTCTGAAAGTCACTGTCCCACTTTCTTTAACATGTTAAGATCATGGCAATTGAGTATTAAACTTGTTTGTCCCACTTTATCAGTACAACTTTTAATGCATTTATTGGATGTATTAGGCTACATCCTGTCTACATTCTTGTGTTGTAAACAGCCCTCTCTTGTTCTTTTCCCCAATAGATAAACAATTACAGCGCTATTTGGGCTCCCTAAGTAAGTGTATGACTGGGTATTTGGTTCAAAGGATGTCCAGCTGTTTGTCCCGATCCCACACAATCACGGCGTACGAAGCACAGGTTATCACATCCCAGCCCACGGACATGCAGAAAGCCTCCAGGCTGATGCAGATTGTCATTAAAAAAGGTCAAAGTGCATGCAGTTCGTTCCTCACATGCCTTGGAATTTGTGACCCGGTGTTGTATGAGAATCTTACTGGATTCCCAGGTAGGACAATCTATCAAAAATGAATGCTTTTTAAAAAAAAAAATAGATATTTGCCACTGTCTGAATTGTTTATTCATTACTTATTTTTCTATTTCTTTCTGTTTCTTCTTTTCTTTCATTTTCTATTATTCAGCACAATTTAATGAAGAGGACCATCAACATGTAGAGCAAATTCCTCTCTCAGGTAGATATTTTTGCATTTTTTGCCTTACTGGTGATATATCTTGTCATAGACTATTTCTTTTTTGCTCTGTTGTTTTAGGAAGTATCAGGAATATCCCTTGTTGAAAAATCCAGCATATGCTGGTTAGATACGTTTTGAAGCATGGCTGCTGGTTTGAGCTGGTTTAAGCTGGTCCTTAGCTGGTCATGAGCTGGTTTAAGCTGGTCATGTGCTGTTCATGAGCTGGTTTAAGCTGTACCTAAGCTGGTCCTGAGCAGGAGCTAGTTGCTTAGGACCAGCACCATGACCAGCTAAGGACCAGCTTAAACCAGCTCAAACCAGCCATGCTGCCATGCTTCAAAATATACCTAACCAGCGTATGCTGGTTTTTTCAACAGGGTCAGTAGAGCAATTATTTTGCAGTTCCTGTTCAGTAGTTAATATACCACCTTACTTCCTGTTGTTGTCTCATTCTTGTTTGAAAGATTACCTCACCCACTTAGTATTACAGGTATTGCTATGAAAAAACCGCATACTTTACTTCTCAAAAGTATGCATGACTAAGAGCCTTGTTTTGCTGTTCCACATCCCTTTGATGCAATGTGTCATGTCGTTGCTCATATTGATGTCTTTTGTCTTTTGTTTTTTGTCTTCTCTTTTTGTCTTCCCTTTTCAGAAAAATTGCAATTTACACCTTGTATTATAAACATACAAAACTCTTCCCTGACCAACTGTATTATTGGGAACAACAATCGCCAGTGCATTACCTGTGACCAGCATTCTTTGCTCGCTCAGAATGATGCAAGCAATGGTAAGTGTCTGTGCAGCAGGAAATATAGGTCAAATTCTTCTAGGGTTATAGAGGTTATATATATATGCATGAACAGTTTATTGTATTTTATACATTTATATAAAATGGAAACATAACCTATATAACTATTTAATACTATTTTTTTTTTATTATTATATTAGTTAACTTTTTCTCACGTGAATTAGGATAACAGTGTAATTTTAGACAATAGCAGGGTTTCTGCAGGTCTTAAAAAGGTGTTAAAAAGTCTTAATTCACCCCTTCCAAAAATGAAGGCCAGAGAATAGATCTTGAATTGGAGCAGAAAGTCTTAAAAGTTGCAAACAAATAAATAAATAATAAATCTTCCTCTGTAATTTTCTTGTTTTCCAATACAAATATCTAAACATCATTGTATTAAAGGGGTCATATATATGACGTTGATAAAAAAGAACATTATTTGGTGTATTTGGTGTAATGAAATGTGTTTATGCAGTTTAAGTTAAATACAACTTAACCATTGATCATTAGTCGTGTCCTCTTTTGGAAGACCAAACAAAGTAGTTTCGCTTTCACAACGAAACACACAGTGTCTCCACGACATGGCGGCAGCAACAATACTACAGCGAGAATAAAAGTTACGCCTTCTTTCTTTGCGTGAACATTTGGGCGGTGTTATGCAAATCTTCCCACATCGTGACGTAGACATGTGGGGGCGTGTTAGAACGAGCCGTTTTAGGTAGGCGTGGTTGACTCTTAACTTTTATAAAGAATATCTCTTTGGGTTTGAGACTTTAGTCTTTGCAACTTTAGGGATCTTATCTATTCATGAACAGCTTGTAACACTCCAAAGAGAAAGGAAAACTTGAAATCGCATCATATGACCCCTTTAAGATACATTTACTTGATATGCAAATTGAGCACATGAAGCCTTGTTTTCTGAGCAATTGAAGAAAATAACATTAATTAATGCTTAAAACAGCAAAATCAAACATCTGTCAACAGGGAATGAAAATCTAATTTATTTTGTCTGAATTAAGTCGATTTTTCTGAACCCATTGCCACATATTTGATCAAAAACCACTTCATTTTGATCAATTTCTCAGAAAACAAAGCTTCCTGTTTTATGTAATTTTGCTTCTCAAGTAAATGTATCTTCATTTAAGAATCTTTAGACATTTGCGGTGGAAAATAAGACAAAATACTGATTAATATATTACTTTTTTACAGTGTGATCAGAAGGTACAGTAAAAGTTCTTTCCATATTTTAGTGATTGGGAGCCAGAGGTATTCAACTCATTATTTATTAATGTCTGTCTTCTATTGAAAAATGGACTTTAAAACTCTTTAAATGTACCTTTATAAAACCTGCAGAAACCCTAAATAGAGTATTATAAAAATGATTGTATATATGAATAATAATAATAAAAAAAAACTTTTTATTTCATTTATTATTATTTTATTTTTTTATTTTTTTACAAACAGTGAATGAAATGCCGGATATTCAGAGCAGTGATCAACTGATCCCAGTGCAGGACACAATAAGTGTCAACAGCATTCACATGGAGAGATCCGACATAGAGTATGTTATTATAGGCGACCATAACAGTATGACAGTCACTGAGAACTCGGAGGTTGAGGAGGATACGGAGATTGAGCCAGAAGTGATTGGTTAATAGATGTGAAAAAGGAGGGCAGACTCGCAGTTTTGGAGAGCTGCGGATTGTCAACTCGCCTTACCGGGCCTGACCTATAATTGGACACTGAAAGCATAATATATGCTTTAAACTGACCAGTGCTCAGGTCCTCAGCAGGTGCTGCCAAATGCACTGAAACATTATCCTTTATCGTGGATTTTTCTAAACCTGTGTGCCTTGAGGTGGCAATGATATTTGATACTGCCTTGATTGTTACTGAACATGACTGCTACTGACTGTTTCTCATGTTTTAATGGGTACACCAATATTTATTTGTTCAACAGAAATGTATGAAAGCAAATACGTTGACTGACACTGCAATCATTGCAAGTCTTTTATAAGCTTAAGCTTTCTGTAATGATACATAAGTAATGTTTACAGTCTTATGTCTTTCAATAATATTTGTATATATAACTTAACTTAATATCTATTGATATTAATTGTGATAGATACTCCTGATGTTTCAATAGATATTCTGTGATAGCATCTCAGTGTATTCCTTTATTCTTTTTTTTTTGGAATTTCTAATAATTTTATGTATGTTGCTAGGTGATATGACATATAAGGTACTGTACAGTAATTTTATGTATACTGAAGAAGGAATGTAGCTGACACATTTGTGATTCTGGAGTAACCAATTTGCATTGGTACTTATTGATTTATAAAGCAATTTTGAGTTTTTTTGCCACCTTATCTCTGTTGTTTGATTCAACAAAAGTAGTTGGTAGCTATTCATTGCGTTCCCAGTCTTATTATAGTCTCTATGTACCTTTAGCTAGAACTAATGGTAAAACTGCTTTTGAATATGCTGCACCTTCAGATTGGAACTCTCTTCAAATGAAACTGCGGCTAAATCAGTTGGTGTCTTTCAGTAATTTTAAAACATTTATGCGCACAATAGAAAATGATTTAATGATTTGCAAATGCTTCTAATGCTGTACTTTTATTGATAGTTGATTGTTGTGATGTATTGTTGTTTGTTATATGTGTATTTGTATTACTGGGCCTCCTATCTTGGCCAGGATATTCCTGTAAAAGAGATTTTTAATCTCAGTGAGGTTAAATAAAGGCTTAATTAATATCTTCTTAAAATATTTATTTAATTCATAGCAGTGGAGAGAAATATACATTAGGATATTTACCTAATATCCTAATGAATGCCAAAAATCATTAGGATATTAGGTAAAGATCATGTTCCATGAAGATATTTTGTAAATGTTCTACTGTAAATATATCAAAATGTAAATTTTGTTTAGTAATATGAATTGATAAGAACTTCATTTGGCCAACTTTAGAGGCGATCTTCTCAATATTTTGATTCAGATTCCAGATTTTTTTTTAATAGTTGTATCTCAGCCAAATACCTCATAGGAAAGCTTATTTATTCATCTTTCAGATGACGTATAAATCTTACATTTAAAAAAAATGGACCCTTATGACTAGTTTTGTGGTCCAGGGTCAGGCACATATATTTAATAAGGTCACGTGACATTTCCTCACAATTACTCCAATACCCATAACAATAACCCATACATGCTAACAAATGTTTACATACAAGAAGGCAAAAGGAAGGGGCTTACGAAACAGAGGTATATGATGTAAGGGAATATATGGGGTCAAGGTATGGAGAATATATGCACATTTTCACAGATGCCTCAAAGGATCCAAAAACAGGTCATGTGGGCTCTGCATTTGTAATACCAAAGTTAAAAGTAAATAAGAGCAGTAGAATATCAGATTGTTTATCAGTGTTTACTGGAGAAATGTTTGCAATAATTATGGCAATAAGGTGGATTAGTGAAGTTAAAATATCCAAGGCAGTAATATGTTCAGACTCAAGTTCAGCCCTAATAAGTTTGAATGAGCAGAAGTCAGAAACAAGACAAGATATGATAATAGAGATTATTCAAGAATTATATTCACTTAAGCAAAATAGTATAAAAGTTCCGTTTCTGTGGGTCCCGGCACATATTGGGTTGAGAGGTAATGAAGAGGCAGATAATTTAGCAAAAAAGGCCATAGAACGAGAAATAGTTGATATTCAGATTCCTCTTAGTAGGTCAGAAATTAAATCAATTATCAAAATGAATATTTGGAAATTATGGCAGCAGTATTGGGACATACTCTGCCCTTTTGATTGACACCTTATTTGAGCCAATAGCTGCATCTTTGAGTTGACCACAAGCATCGATAGCCAACTAGCGCCCAGGATTAGGAATGGTCCAGCCTCTCTGTGATCGACAGTAGATCGATCCAGTTGCATCAGAGTCGGATGAAGCTCTATGAAGACTCTAAGCGGGTACAAGAATCAAGGGTGTTTGAATGTGGGTTGGTAGTGTAGATAGAGTGTCAATGGTCCATTTGAGATATAGGTGGCGGTAATGCACTTATAAGTCTGCGATCCGCCGTAAAGCAACAAGAAGAAGAAGAAGAAGAATGTTTACATACGTCACTTCCTCTAACTGAAACTTGCGTCGCACTACAAGTGGAAGCGGGAGAAATGCCACTGGACATTCGACGTAAACAATTGCTGGTAAATTATTGGATTAATCTAAAGGGACATAGAGATGGGCATCCTACTAAGAGGGTACTGCAAGCTAGCTGGGAAAAGGAAAGGGCGCCAAAGTTTAGTTTTGGATGGATAGGAGATGAGACAGCTAGAGATTTGGGGGTGAGTGAAAAAGAGTTCTGCCCAACTATTGTATGGCCTGACTTTCCAGTATGGAAGATTGAAACCATGGAAGTTGATTTTGAATTACATCAAATCAAAACGATAAACAATAGTATCGCCGTTAAACCTCAAAGAAGAAGAAGAAGATGAAACTTGCGTCTTGCTGCCTGGTTCATTTAACAAACACTAGCAATAGCGTAAATGTTTTTGGCACTATTACAGTGAATCTCGACATGAGGTTAAGGTTTAAAAACGAGCATAACAGACACTCATTAATGAATTTATGAAAATCGTTTGCAGTCATTGAACTTCCCGCTGCGATGCTCGTTTGAGGCGGGAGGCTGTTTGCTGGAGTAGTTGGCGAGTCTAAGTGGATGCTAAAAATGCAAGTTACAGATATCGGGTCCAGAGAAGATGGGAAAATATGGCACAGAAAATCAGTATCATCAAAATATGGGTAAGTTTGATATAACCAGCTCGGAGCAAACTGTTTTATGCAATGAGAACAGATTCAATTTTGCATTTAACGTCATGTGTTACCAGCGTCTTGGCCACTGTGGTCCGAAACGCGTCTGCTCGTCAAACCAAGACGGTTCGATTCCTGCAAGTGGCTTTTGACACCACAGGAGAGTCGTTTCTTGCTGGTGATCATCATGGCAATATTTATGTGTTTGACATTAGCAGAAACAGGTATATACTATATTTTCTCCTTTTATCTTTTCATACGTGTTCGGTTCTGTTGCTTTATCACGTATTCTCGTATGTCTCTTTCGACAGATTCAAGCTGGTCCAGAAAACAGGCCAAGCATGTACTGCTTTAGCGTTCAACTTGAGAAGAACCACAGAGTTCCTGGTTGCTCTGGCTGATTATTCCATTAAATGCTTTGACAAAGGTAAGACACATTATTAGAGGTTTCTCATAAAGGCCTGCAAATGTTTAACTATTCTTCTAAGAAGCGTAAACTATTTTTCCCAGACACCAGACAGCTAGTGAGCTGGATGCGGGGTCACGAAGGTGCCATTTCTTCCCTGTCCGTCCACAGTTCAGGCAGCTACGCCATCAGCACTTCCTCAGACACCGCTCAGCTCTGGAATCTTGATACCTTTCAGAGAAAGAGAAAGCTTAATGTTCGTCAGTCTGTTGGCATACAAAAGGTTAAGCGTCACTTATCTGTACATAAGCATCATATTATAGTAACAACTCTACGTCAGTCCCTCATTCTGTTTTTTTTTTTTCTTTTTTTTGTAGGTGTTCTTTCTTCCACACAGCAACACCATTCTCAGCTGCTTTAGTGACGACTCCATTTTTGCTTGGGAGAGTGACACTCTTTTTTGCAAGTATCAGCTACCTGTTCCACAGGACGGGCCCAGAATACACTACAGGACTTTTGCTGTTACACAGTAAGACTGTAACACTTACGCTGATGATACACGGGGCAACTTTGGGCAACTTTAAATCACGACCAATTAGGGGTAGGCGCTATACCAGTATGAATGTGACTGAATATATGTATTATGTTGTTCCATGATATGGATTTTGCTATACCGTGGATACCGTTATATATTCATGAATTCAAATTTTGCATTTATATTTTAACACAAATGATGATAAAGAGTCGAGGCTGAACATTTTTGTCCTCTGTGTGCAACGCCGTACTACACAGGCATTAGTAATCAAACACACAGAGAGCATCGTAACAGACCAAATTAATAAAGCACAAATCGCCTACTCCAGTGGTTCCCAAACCGAGGGATCGTGTACAGTCAGCAGATTATTTTGCAAAAGAAACCTCTGCAGGGTGATAAAGACTACACTGCGTAATTTTCCCGCTTATCATGCGGCCACTTGTCTGATAAGTAAATAATTGAACGCAAAATATTAATTTTACATATTTAAATTACCTCAATATGACTCGCAGTACACACTTAAGCACTCCATTATCAGTTGTAGATGTTGTGGTTGTATCAATATTCAATAACAGACCACTAGATGGTGCGATTGAAGAATCAGAGTTGTATTGCAGGGAGCCATGGAGAAATATAAATGATCATGCAAAGTTACAAGTTTGTGAAATGACTTCCAGTGCCAGGTAAACGTAAAGCAGATTTTGTATATACTTAAGATTCACAAATACCAAAACAATGTGTCTACACCAGACGCGAGCGGCGCGATGTGACAAAAGCAAATAGAACCCAGTGATGATCTCTGCTGTGGATGTGGCGCGACACAACAAATCCATGACAGTAAACTGATGCCAGGTTCTATTTCTGATGAACTCCAGCGCTCTGACACAAAGAACCATATCAAATATTCATAAGAGAATCGTGAAAAAATTGTTTCCTCAAAAATATTAAGCAGCACAACTGTTTACAACATTGATAATAATCAGCAATGTTTCTTGAGCAGCAAATCAGCATATTAGAATGATTTCTGAAGGATCA